TATTAGGGATGGTTGCGCTTAGTTCTGAATTTTATGTAACACATGCAGCTCTAAAAGGCCTGTTTCAGCTGCGCTTGTTGAATAAGAATAAAAGAGGGTATTTTTGTATATTTTGACTTGGGTGCCTTTTCGGAAGCAGCCAATCTTGTGTTCGTTGCCAGATTTCAATAATTTGTTTTTGTGCTGGGGGGTAGGCTAGGCTTATCCATGCTTCTTGTAGGTTCCACACTTGAGTTTGTTTCATCAGAAGTTGCGTGAATGACATGCTCTTTTAGTGTGGTGTCACCTCTTTTCAGCCACTAGTTATACACCTCTTTTAACGACTCTAGGTGCTCAAAATCTACTAATAATTCCTAAGAATACATATGTGATAAATGGATTCATAGATTCATTACCAGCAAGCCTACTACTAGATAATACGTGCCCACCAACTTAGATTAAAATTCTTTTAAAGTTAATAGGAAATAAACCGAAAATGATGACCACTTGGGCTCAATCCCACTTCGAGTCAAGGTTTGCGATGAAGAGATTAAAAGGTTGGCCCAACCAGGAAACTGATTCCTCTTGGTCAGCTGTCGGTTGACTTTACTGAAATATTATTGCCGACGCTCTCTTTAAGGGAGTATTTTTCGAATCTGGTCAAAACAGGCTTAACCTTCGTCCATCATATAGCAGACATTATAAGAGCAAGGTATCTTCCTTACAACCATATCTACGCTAATTTCGTATATATGCCCTATTTATATGCTTTTTGGTTATGCATAATTTGAATTCGTTAGTTAAGATTATATGACAACGGGAGCATGTGTGTGCTTATGTGCCTCTATATGTTTGTGTGTGTACAAAACCTGCAGTAGTAGCTCAAAGTAATTATAACAGAATGTAGCATCTCTCTTTGGTCATCAGAGTTTAACGACCACAATCAGCCTCGAATTTATATTTTGAGCATCCGCGTGTGAAAGAGAAAAATAAGTAAAGTAATACGTTTAGAAACTGTGTCGGTAGTTTGAACCATGACTACTTGAGGAGCCTACTTTTTAATTGAGGTATGAAGACCAAGATGGTATGGCCTTTTATATGGTCACGGTCTCCTTGCGTTGCATAGTTGTTGTTTGATCTTGCTTTATCATCTTGGTCATATTGACAGGACGACCTTAAGGAATGTACCTTGTCCGGAGTCTATAGCAAGCATTATAGTTTCTCGAGTCGCACCGTCGACTTGGTACCTTCACAGACGTTTAGTCGGCATCTTCAGTGAGTCTTGCCACTTAGCACCACACTACAACTATTCAATGAGACAAGGGAAGTCGATCCTTCGACCAATTGCTTGCAAATAGTTGTGATATCTCTCCTCTTCTTGCTATTCACTTATCCTATATCCTCGTATCGCCCCTTAACTATCACAATTTCTTAATTGCTTATCTAAACTAATTCATGCTGTCCGCTGGTTTCTACATCCCTCCCACTGTACCTGGAGCGTTGATCCAAGTCTGCAGTTCATTCCACAATCCTCTTCTTTCAAGTCCTTACATAGTCTGCCTCTTGCTCCGTATGATCATTCCCTTATCTACCTGTTTAAATGAGTTCACTCGATCTGTACAACCATATCCATGCCTCTCGATCTGTGTTTCACTCTACCTCGACCATTTGTTAGCCTCATTGAGCAAGCCCCTAAAGTTTGGATTCTTAATCGGCATGACAACCTAACTTGACGCTACAGGTTCCCTTGTCACTGTGCGGCATATGCACTGGGTAAATCTCGTGGTCAAGCGTTTACTTCATGGACCACGTCTATGAGCAAATGTATCTCGCTCTTCTGTTCATAATTCCGAGTCTATGAGTTTCTTGTGTACGTACCCCCAAATATGGTGGTTCTATTTAATTTGAATAGGCTTACTGTAGACATCTCCTCTTAGTTTCCGATTGTTCCACTCTGGTTGCCTTGTAATTTCTTTTCCTAAAATTAAAATAATACCTTTGTCAAATCGTCTTCTTTTTGCTGACATTGCTTTCCTTGAGCACCGAGTTTGCTTAGGCAATATGTAAACATTTCGCGAATTCTGCCTTGTTCGAGTCTCAGTTAATTAGATTTCTTTCAGTCATGATATCGATGGCCTTTCGTATTTTGCATTTTCTTATCTTTTCACCAGTTGATCTTGTGTCCTGTCCGCGCAATGCCTTCCGCTATTTCGGATCTTTGTGTATCCATGTTCCTGCAGAGTCTTTGATGTTCCTTGATTCGTAGGCCGATCTTTCTTCCTGTCTCACCGATACACTTCTGCTCACAGTCGCCGCATTTGATGCCCTAGACTCCCGAGCAATTCAGTTTGTTGCTTCTCTCGTGTTGCATTGGCAGACTGGCGAATAGTGTTGTTATCACCTTCATATCCCATTGTCACCATGACAGTAGTAATTTTCCGCTCAGTTCACACGACAGGCATATCCACTTTTTGTCGTCATCCCGATTCCAGCTCTTATCTTCATAAAATCCAAGTAGAAATCTGCTCTATATGACCCCTATATTTCTTTCTATACATTCTCTGGGGTACCTGTTTCTCAAACTCATCCTTCCAGAACACATTGTCGGTTATTATTAAGCTACTGATTGTCAAACCGGAAATTGAGGGTTATTCCAACATTTGATTGTTTTTTGAGTATTCCGTTGGAGCGAATGACCTTAACATCCGGGAAAGGTAGTCGCTTATCCTTCTCCACTTCCATTGTGAATTTAATTTATTTGTACAATTGGAACTCGACCTAATAAAAGTCCACACCATCTTGTTCTTCATACCTTCGAATTCGCCAATACCTATTCGACTTTGGTAAGGGGTCTCTTTTGGTCAGAAATCCAAGGTAATTATATTAAGTGCATTTACCCTATTTCGTTTAAGTTGATTAAGTAATGTTAGTTTAGTTTTCCCACGATGATATGAGTAGAGTTGACGCTTCCATTGCATTTTCTGTAGTCCTGCACTCCCAGTTTCGACCTCGTCTAGGTCTTATTAACACCCCAGCGGGACTCTAACCATGACAGTCCAGCGTGTATTCTCGACACGGTAACCAGTACGCCACATTTCCACGAGTGCCCTTGGGCCACAGGGCATATTTGAATTGCAATTAAGGCCTGGAATTTCCCCATAGCACACTCTGGCAGGATTGCCGATGAAGCAAAGTAATATTTGCTATAACAATTGACTACATTATTGAGTTTTCGTTTTTACAAGTAGGGTAGTCTTGAAACCATACTTGTAAAAATAAGGGTAATTATGCCCAGGCGGCCTCAAAACAGAAGCCACTATCGCATATAAGAGATGGCTAGGGTTATGAGATTATCATGTATGTCTATACTAGTCCTTAGTCGAGCTTTCCGTTTCAGAAACAAGTTTTATCGCATGGAAATTTTCACACAATCATATGAATATGGCCCATGTCTCCATTTAATTTTACATAGCCTTGCTTCCCCAAAATGTATTCTTGGACCTGGTAAGCGCTGGACTGACAATAACTCGCTATTCTTTGATGATGTCTATTGAGTGACATGAAGTGAAAGCTCGCAATCCAACTGAGTAGGTTTGACAGTATCAACATATCTTTATTAATAAATTTATTCACCCTAGATGGCAAGATGTGATGAAGAGAGTTGAAATTTCCACAATGCTATGAGCAAACTGCAAGAAAGCATACCAACTATAAACATAAGCAACATTGTCTATAATTAATGGCAGATACAGGTTTGCCTCATCCGCACTAACTATGATTATGAGGCTCGTGTCAGTATGGTGTAAGTGTAGTAGTCCTTTATTATCTTAACCGAAATAGCGTGAATATATCTCATATAATTGATTTGCTGATGATCCCAAAACTGAGTCTAAACGAAAATAAGCGAAATATGTTTTTATCGTCACCAAGGCAGAGTACCTCCATGCCTACCCCAGCCATTCACTGCTCTGCTATACCGTCATTTTTAAGTTCAGATCAAGCCAACACTGCTAACTGAGCCAATGAATTGCGTCAAGAGAGGCGAACACATTTCTTACGGGATATGTTCTTCAGCTCCGTCAAGTTTGCGAGTGTCAAGTGGTCACGACTTGGTGCCTCGATTGTCACTGCCCATCGGATGACGCAGATATGCTGAAGTCCTATTTCAGATACCGCAAGCTTAGACAGGATTCGGTCTGCTCCTATTTTGTCTGAGGTTATGCATTATCACAACAAGCTGATTTATTGCCTCTAATCAGTCTAATGAGCGTTATGCCTCAAAGAGTCAATTACTTTTTAACTCCCTTACCTTTTTCGCAGACTTGGCTTTATCTCGTTTTATGCAAAGAAGCTTCGAGGGACGTCCCCTGTACCACATCCTCCGGCATTGTTGCCATGCCTTCTTGCGACATCTGACTAGTGATAAGCTATCTACAGGCGTTTCGCCTGCTTGATGCGCGATCAAAGCCATTTGTTAATTTTGCTAAGTCTAGCTGGTCGCCGACGATGATACTGATGCTGTAGAACATGGCCACAATGACATCGAGATATGCGGGAATGTAACCAGCCGACGTTTTGTTGGTAGAAGAGCAGATGACAACAACAACAACAATAGAAGATGCTGTCTGGAAACACGAAAAGTTGCGAAAATAGATCTGATTAAGTCGACATTTTTGGATCATCTCTGCAACTGCCTGTCAAAACCAAAGCTAACCATCCGTCTGGAAGGCCACATTTGGCCTTGGGCTGGATTGTTTCCGATTGTTGGATTCCATGTCCTGGAACTCTGGAAGACAGATTCTTGTGTTGTCATGTAAAGACGCCTGTGCCTTTGGCATCATTTGATGCCAAATCTGAGGCAGGTTAGGAGCTACGAGTCACCAAGAGATTGACTTAATTGCCGAGTCAAATGCTGATTAGCCTAGGTTTCGGTTAGTTAGATGAAATTAATTATGAAGCCATTGGGGCCTTCAAGGGCCGAGTATTGCCCTGAACATTAAAACTTATTTTAAGAGATGTGGAAAATAGTTTATTACACAGCCGGTCATTTGTTGAGAAAGTGAGCATGCCAAACATTCTAGTAACTAGATGTACCATTAAATAATTATTTACACAAGATGATTTGATTAATCACTCATCCTATAGGATTTCAACTATTAACACTTAATAAGATCTCTTCTTCATAGTCTCAACTTGCTAATGGCTGCTTTATGGTGCTTCATGTTGATCAAACTACAAATGTACCAATTCGTATCGAACTCTTTTTCCGATAAGATAAAGAAAGACTTCAATCCTTTCTGCCCTAGATACTCTGAAATTACACATTTACTGGGTTTATGATGAGGCGAATTTGTATTTTTCACCACAACTGACGATATTACTTGAATTCGGGGTGAGTATGTAGCGAAACTATCAGTAATCTGTGGTCGACCT